CGCTCGTGCCGAGCAAAGAAGGAGGAGATGAAGAGCAGGAGGTTGGGTTCACCATCGACATCAAAAGCTTTCTCAAACCCGGTGAGAAGAGCTACACGCAGCGCTGCCGGCTGTTCGTGGGGAATCTGCCTACCGATATCACGGAGGAAGACTTCAAGCGTCTCTTTGAGCGCTACGGGGAGCCCAGCGAGGTCTTCATCAATCGGGACCGGGGCTTTGGCTTCATTCGCCTGGTGAGGATTCGCGCGAGCCCCTGGGGGCTGCCCTGTAATCTAAGGGCTGACTGTGCGAGCGGGAGACTCCTGTCTCTTGCTCAGCCCACCGCACCCCCCTCCCCCCCCGGGGGTAAAGGAAGACAGTAGCTGCGCCTGATTCTGTCTCTTTCGCCTTGCTGCTAGCGCTGTTCCGTCAGTTTCCTCTTCCTTCTCCCCTACTTGCCTCCATACATCCAAGCCAGAGGCCTGCACTGTGAGCAGCCTCTCCAGCCCCTCTCCTTTAGGTTCCTGCCTCACCACGCGGTATCCCGCTGGTTTCAGGGCCTCCGCCAGTTACCTTTTACGTGCTGCTACCGCCGGTACTCGGCAGCCTGTTATTCTTCAGTGGACGGGAGAGGTGGCTGCGCTATCTGCTTTGTTCGTGTAGTACCTATGTAAAGGCTTTCCTTACTTAACTAGGAGAATTTATCCTATTTTAGGACTAGAAAAAAAAAAAATCCCTCTTCGTGCGGAAGCAAATTTCAGCCGAATTTTTGAGTATAGGTTTAGTCTATGAAAATACAACTAAATTTAAAGACTGGACAGGATTGTTTCGGAATACCACTGCTCACACATTGTGCAAACGGCACATGTAATCGCAGAACTGCAGAGCAATGGGACCTTGGGTTGTTTAAATTGCTTGTGTCCAGTTAAGACCAGATTTTTTAGGGGTAATACAATATTCGATCGAATATGCTCAGAAGAGTATGCAAAAAAGGAATAATCTGAAAAGATTATGATACTGTATTTAAATGTCATATTAATGCGCAGGATTAGTTTTTGTGACTGCCATGTCTAGAATGCACTGATTTGTATCATTCTGAGAACAGCTTTAGAGTGCTTTGTGTGTCTCTAGGTATGATTTTTCCATATATTCTACTGGATAGGATCGTTTTTTCTTTTTTGGTTGTCATCTTAAAGATAATTGCTTATGGCATTCTGCCATACGTCTTTTACCCTGAGAATACTCTAGCCTGAAATAGCAGTTTTCTGGAGGAAGTGAGATATATTTATATGTCATTGCTCACTTTTGTATGTGATACGGATTAGATATGCAGCTTTTATCTGAACTTCCTTTTCCTGTTATGTTTAGGGAATGTTATTTTTTAACAATTTACCTAGTTGAACTGCTGAGAAAATTGCTATGATCTAAAGAATAATCCCTTTAAATGTAAGGGATTGCAGGTATCAAACTCAGTGAAAATCCCTGAAATGAGAAAAAAGGCAGTTACTGATGCAGACTGTCTCATGGGTGTGGGTGCAGAAAGCCCATAAATGTGAGAAGGGATACATGAGCTAAGAAGGTATTCGAAGTGGACATCCATTGAGAGCTCATCCAGCAATAGTAATGAGCACGTGTGATACTTATTTAAAAAGAAAACAGAACTCCAAACTAAAGCCCAAAACACCTTAGGTCCTGTAGTGTAATCTTTGAAAATACTGTTTCCTACTCTCTGGAGCTAGGGACGCAGAATCTAAATGTTTTGAGTTGGTAAATGTGGAAAAAAGTCAGCTTTTCAACTCTGCTGAAAGCTTTTACAGAGCAGCAGTGGTGTATCCATCATGAGAATTTATCTCCTCTAATGTGCAACAAAATTTTTTACTATATTACTTTTTAGAATAAATCATAGGGGATGACAAATGCCTTTTTTTTTTCCTTTTCAGTCAGGGGACAGCAATTTTTTGGGGGCAGGGGAGGAAGAAGAGTTGAATGACCCTGATGTTACTGTGTTCAGGTTAAAACAAACAAACAAACCCCGAACAAAAAAACCAACCAAAACTTCCCGGGGGGAGGAGGAACCACAGCAGTGTCTGTTGGCCTTGAAAATAAAATACACAAAATATTTTCTATCTTGAAAAAGGAATCTAGGACACTGGCTGAGATAGCGAAGGCAGAACTGGATGGTACTATTCTGAAGAGCAGACCACTTCGAATTCGATTTGCCACACATGGAGCTGCCCTAACGGTCAAGAATCTTTCACCTGTGGTTTCTAATGAGCTGCTGGAACAAGCGTTCTCTCAATTCGGGCCCGTGGAAAGAGCTGTTGTTGTAGTCGATGATCGTGGCAGAGCTACAGGAAAAGGTTTCGTCGAGTTTGCAGCAAAACCTCCAGCACGGAAAGCTCTAGAAAGATGCAGTGATGGGGCATTCTTGCTAACTACGTAAGTTCACAGGCTTTTGTTTGGCTTTGTGTGAATGTGTATTTCTGATGTGAAAGAAAGCATTCCTGAGTTTTCCCTAGTTCTTATTTTATTTTCAAATTACGAAAGCCATGAGGTGAGAAATTAAGGTGTTTCATGTGAGTACTTCTGACTTTCGTGAGGAAAACCATCTTTTTCTGCTTACTGTTTATAAGACCTGTAATTACCATCTGAGAGCCTGATGGCAACATTTTGCTGTTCCTTGTCTATATGCAGTATTACTTTTCTTGCTTTACATGGTAGGACTTTTCCTAGTGACACTTTATTTTCATTGATTGCACTCTTCCTGGTCCCAGTAACAATGTGACAAGATATTCCTCTGTTTCTTAGCAAAAGTGCATTACATTGCTCATACTCTTGTAAACTCAGGAAAGTCTTCCTGCATTTATTTCTGTCTCAAAAGTTTTATTTGTGGCTTGAAAGGCCAGAAGTACTTTTTTTTTTAATTTGAAAATGAAGACTTACATTCTGCGGATGTTTATGGCTTATGGCAACAATCTCTGGAGAACTTTCTATTTCAAGGGCCAGCAAGCTTGCATACTACAGCACTTCTCTCTTGCATCTCCTATTTCTGTACTTGCTGAAGAGAGTTGTTAACTGCTGTCCTTTAACACGTTTGCTACTGACATCTTCAAATGCTTTCGTAAACACTGTGAAATCATAGATATCAGGATTTTATTTTTCTGATTCTTATTTGGGAAAATAAGACTCTGTTCCACAGCATAAAGCTTGCTGCTGTCAAACTGGGGAACTTGTAGTTCTTTTTCTCTTCCTGCCCTGGCTGTGTGGTTGATCTTTTATCTGCTTGAGAACTTACTGATAGTTCTGTAAGCTACTTGCTATGTCCAAACAACAGAGAAGTATTCAGCTGTTCTTGTTGAATTCATTTTTTGGCTGTTGAAAGCACGTGAAGGTGCTTGCCAACATGGGTGCTATGAACATGAGGTCCTGCAAAGGATAAGGCAGGAGAAGATATTGTGAGGAGGAGATTGCAGGTGGGGAAAGGATCTGAAACTCCTCTTTCTGGTGATAATCTTACAAGTCTTGTGTGACACCAAACTGACCTGGTGGCGATGTAGTAAATTCAATCTGTGTGTGTGTTTACTCTTACGAGTAGGTGCCAGCAATTTGTTCTTATCCCCTGTGGGTTGGTGGTTTTTTTTGACATTGAATGGAATCATGGGGAGCCAAAACACGGAACTATCTAGTTCCGTGTTACGTGAATGCTACTTTGGCATGAGAGAGATGTCAGGGAAGAGAAGCTGGGCTACGAGAAAGGAGGTTCTTGTTTTACCAGCTGGATAGATCAATTGGATTGAAATGACCATGTATCTATGGTCTGTGTGAATAAAAAGCATTTATCTTTATCTTGCTTAGGTGGTTCACGTGTTCCCTAATGCGTGCTTACAAAGATAATTAGCATGAATCTGCTGCCATGGTACTCTGGAGGTTTGCTTCAGAATCTAAAATTTTACATTTTTAGCTGAAAACTCTGCCTGATCAGAAGAAAGTTTTTGAATTCATGAGGTAGTGATATCAAAACTAGGCATTTGAAACATTAATTTAGAGATTTAAAATTGTTGTTTTAAATCATAAGTTGTTAAAGCCATTGTTCAGTTGCATTTAAATAAGAGAACTGCCAGCAATTGCCCTGCAGGTAACATCAGGAGAAACTCTTGCTGAGTTGTGCTCTGTGATTCCAGACTTCATCTTTTTGATCTTCACTTGATGTCCAAAGTTTTCTTTTTCATCTGTTGATGTTAACGTATATTGGGGTTTTTTTCTATGAAAAGGTCTGCAAAGAAAAGTAAAGGTGTGGAACACAATAAGTAAGCATGAGCATTTGAAAATAGTGTCTCTAGCTCTTACTGCTTTAACGTGTGTGTTTTAGGCTATGCTCTCAAGACTGATGTAGAGAGCTTTTCACGCAATTCAGGATCCTTGTGCTATCCTTGGCATGACTAGCTAAAACCTGCCTCTGATTACTGCAGATAATGAGAATTCAGGGAAGGTATTTTCAAAGATAAATTAGGATTTTGATTTGGGAGAGTATGGTTGTTCAAAGAATGGGGTTTAAATAACTTAAGCAGGGATGTTTTTCTAATTATCACTGGAATATTAATACCAAATTACCAAGCTGTTTTCAACTGCAGAGTAAACTCCAACGGTAACTTGCAATATTCTGTGGAAACACAAAGAGATTGTGTCACTCTGTTCTGGGTTTGTTTGATGCTTTCCAAATAGAACGATGGCCTCTGTGTTGCTTCAGTGATGGGGAAAAGAAAAAGGTAGTTCCTTCCTAAATATCTCGCTTGTAGATGTTTTTGAGTTTTTTTTCAGTCTTGAACTACATCAAGTAGCTTCTGGTTTCTAGGCAGAATAGCTGGTTTTGGGTGTAGAAAAATTATTTTCAAAGGTAATTCTTAAAATAAGGTTTCAGTGGAATTCAGCAATTTAAGAATTTGTAAGATGCAGGAATTATAGATAACATACGTTAGCATTCTGGAGTGTTTTCCTCAAAATAACTTTTAACTGCTTTTGAAACTGTATTCCAGAACACCTCGACCTGTTGTTGTAGAACCAATGGAGCAATTTGATGATGAAGATGGGCTCCCAGAGAAACTAATGCAAAAAACACAACAGTATCACAAGTAAGTTGTTTAGCTTTATTTTAGAAAACATAATTTATGTTACTTAGCTTGGTAGATATATGCTAATTTTTCCTTTTGAGTTTATGTAACAGGAGGTAGTGTTCTGTATGTTGTGCTGGTTTGTGTCAAAGGATTAAATAGGACTTTGCCAAGACTTCCAAATTACCGTAAAATTCAGACTTGACTTGTTGGTTTAACATTCTGTGCATTTACTGAAGTAGATAGATTCCCAGTCTACACCGAAATCAGTGGGAGCTTGTTGCCAGCCAAGCTGTGGTCTTTTATGGAGTTAGGGGTGTGGTCTAATCCTGCAGAGATTTGTATACCCCTTGATTTTTTTTGTTCTCTGAGTAGCTCCTTAGCAGTTGATAAGTCAGTGGAGTGTAAATCTCTACAGCTTCCACTGTTCCGATAAAACTTTGAGCACAGCTTGAGAAGATGAGTCTTGGTCATGAGGTGGAAGAGAAGTCACCTGATAATATTAAGAATTAATACTGAAATTTGATTACCATTTAGATATAGCATACTCTGGTAAGGCTGTAGAATACCACTTTTTAAAAATGTGTCACTGTTAGTTACAATGTTAGTGTTAGAATGTGAAATAAAATGTTGGCACCTTTTAATGTTTAGAGATTGTGGCTAACGTTCTGAGCTGTCTAGTAAGATCTGATATATAAATAACTGGATTTATGAATCAGCTGCTTGCTTTAGAAGGCTGAACACAGTTAATCTAGTGTTGCAGCTTAGTATTTTGTTCTGATGTAAATATGGATTTCTAGCCTAAAATTATATAAAGTAAACAGATCTTTATTTGAAGCTCTTATTGCTTCACAGCTGAATTAAGCTTTGGCTGGTTTAGAATGTAGTCTCCTGACAGGTTTCTTTAAAAGCAGATCTATACTTGAAGTGATGGTTAATAAATTCCTAGGCTGTTGGCAGCTGTTGGTCTAAATGTGTCCTTCTGTACATTTTAACTGCAACATTTTTATTAAAAGAGAACAGCCTCCACGTTTTGCTCAGCCTGGAACGTTTGAGTTTGAGTATGCTTCACGGTGGAAGGCTCTTGATGAGATGGAAAAGCAACAGCGTGAACAGGTTGACAGGAACATTAGAGAAGCCAAAGAGAAACTAGAGGCAGAAATGGAAGCAGCTAGACATGAGCACCAGCTAATGCTGATGAGGCAAGGTAAAATCAGATTATCTACTAGTATTAAATTTGTTTTGTCACAGATTTTTTGTGTGTAGCATATTGAGCTGTATGTTAAATTAGAGATTTTGCTACATGCTTTTTCACTAAATGCATTGAACTGAGAATAAGGAAGTAATATTTCTCTTTGCACATGTTCCTTGATTTGCAGAAATGGATTAAGAAACTGAGAAAGGGTTGATTCTTCGCTTTTTAAATTTTGCTGGTGTAAGTGAAATTGAATGGTAACTTCACACTCCTCAGTAAAATTATTTTCCATTTTTGGTGTTGAGTATGGTGCTGGATAGGATTAAGTACTGTTTGTGGGCTGTGTGCAGGAAAAAATAAAAAAATGACAGCTCGTACTACTTTTGGCTGTTCTATGCACCCCTGGTATGATTTGAAATGTTACAGTAGATAATGTTACTTTTTTTCCTTTGAAATGCAGCTGAGAAGTCTGTGTGCATATGATGATTGTATGTACGTAACAACTCTCGCAGTTGCTGTGAATTTCAGTTGTTGAAAGTTTGAGATGATGTACCCCTCTTTCATAATTGTTAGGACATCCTGTCTTCTGCTAGTTTTGGGGTAAAAAAGCCCCTCTAGCAATTGCTTTGAATCCCTGTCTGGTAAGAATGGAGCTGAGTGAAACTTGTGTTTCTTGAGCAGAGGACAGTAGCAGGGCGAGTATCTGGTACATTCTGCTTGTTAGTCCTCTTCCTAAAATATGTTTTTCCTAAAACACTGTGGACATGGAAATCACTGCTTTTCAGTTCAGAACTATTGAACTAGTACTTGATTTTAGTTCCCTCTGCTGTATTGCAAGGCTTGAGTGGATGAAGTTTAAATATATTGTGGTCTGTTGGAAAGAATCTCAAGGTTTGTTGCATGAAAGAACGCTGAAGTTGTTTGTGTGGGGTTTTTTAATCTTAATTTAAGGGAGATCATGTCCATCTAAAAAAAATTCTTATGCTTAAAGAGTTTTAGGTCATAAGACAGTACAGTAACTTGCTTGATAGAATAAGAATGCCCTTTCATTTTAAAGGGATTTGAACTTCCTGGGATCCTAAGATGTGGGTGCATTTTGAAACTTAAACCCAGATAACTCATGCAAGTTGTCTGTTGCAATTATTTGGCTTTACTTAATAATGCTTCCTTTTAAGATATTATTTGGTTGGTAGTATGACTTCCCTCTGTGAGACTGGTTTATCTTAATTTTTTCTGCTGACATGACTGCCATGTTGAAAATACCTTTATCAGATATATTATTCACTAGGTTGGGGGAATTAAAACACCTAAATGCTTGGATATATTGAATCTAAACACATAGTCTTTAAAAAATGTAATTTAAACATTTTTGTAACTGGAAAAGAGATTAGAAGGGTCATATTTCATTTTTTAATATAGTAGTATTATATCTACTGCACTGAAAGTTGTCTTTAAGAAAAAGTTTACATAGCCTGTTTTTTTTTTTTTTAAATAGGCATGCTTGCTTTTAGTGTGGAAGCCATACTGCTTCATGTAAGATCTTGCACTGAAATACACAGCATAATATGTTAAAAAACCCACATTTTGAAATACTAAGTAGTTATTGCAGCACCTGAGATGACAACTGTCAAGTTTTTTCTTGGTTTATTTTGCAAGCAAAATATGTTAAAGCTTTTGGTTTGCCTGTAAACATAGGTATATCTTACAGTGGGGAATGTGAATGTTAATGTGATGTAACTACACTGCCTATAATAGGCAGTACAGCCCCTCCTTTTCTATTAGACACATTTTTAATTTTGTGCATATGTATGCTTTTGTTGGTAAAGATGATCCAGTGCTGAAAATATGGGTGGGATAAATTTACCATTATCTAATTGTTAATATTTGACAGTGCTAATGATTCAGTTCTGGAACTTAGGCTCTTTCAATTTTTTCTACAATTTATCCACCTATTGTCTGTACTTGATGTCAGGGTTAGGGGTTACATTTTCCTAAATTGTCATGCCCTAATCATGTTTTAAACTGAGACAAGAAGACAGTGTCCTATTTATTAAGATAAAAAAGGCCTTGCTAGTAAAACATGGGAGAATGGCTTAGGTATGTTTTGTGGATATTAGGGTTTCTTTTAAGGACACTGTGAAGGAAAAAATACTCCTTTTTTGAATATCTATTAACCTGCACTTTTATATGGAAGAGAAAAACAATTACTTCTTTTGTTAAAGAGACACTAGAATATCAATGCTTTTGGTGCTAATATTCCAGTGAGAAAACATGCTTTTTGTTCATGTGGAAAGGAGGGTTTTTTCCTTCCTGTTGGGTTGAGTACCTCTTCTTGGTATCAAATAAGTTGGAATTTTGTTCGGATTACTAGATTTCTGCTTATATACCTGCAGGTGCTTAATTTGCCAGACTCTGGGGGGGTTGGTAAAGATTCCTGTTTTAATCTCATTAACTCTCCAGCTTCAGTGTATATGAAAATAAGGTGTGTTTCCTCTTGTATTTATTTTCAGACGTTAGCTGCTTCTAAATCTTGCTGGTCTGAACAGTGCCTCTGGGTATGTTCAGACAATGCCAAGAATATTAATTGTGAGGTTGCATCACAGGGTCTTTAAGAAAGATGCAATAAAACTTTCGAGGCATCCAAACCTAGAGTTAATATATTTTGTATACCTGCCGCACAAACCACAGATTTCAAGGTGATGAAATAGTTATTCTGGAATATGAAATCACTATACTAATTGTCAGGAGCTAAAACAAAGATAGGAAGGAAGATCTTACCAGAGTCCATATACTCCTGCGGGTAAATTTTTTGTAGAAATTGCTTTATAAGAGCTAATAGTGTGTTGGCTTAAGCACTGAGGTTTTTGTGGTGTGGTATTAATACTGAAGGTAGACTTCATTCTTCTGGTATGTGTAATTTTTCGCTTTTAAGTGTCATGTTTTGACAGATTGAGTCAGAAGTAATTTGTAAAGCAGAATACGTGTTTCCATGTGTAAGTAAATTGGCGTGATGCTTCTCATCTACATATTGGTGGTATGCTTCAGACTTTTGTGTAAATATTACCTGATAATGGTGGTTAAATAGTCTATGAAAATACTGGAAGACATGACTGAATTTAACCAGAAGCTTCATTCTCTATCAGTTATATAGAAGCTGGGCATTTGCTCTCCATTTTTAGAACCTGAAAAATCAGCAGCTTAAAACAACTTTAAAGTCTTTATGGACTCAGTATTCCTGCTTGTAGGACTAACTTCTGAGAGTACAATTTACCTTCTGCCCTGTGCCCTGCAGAAGGTTGAGGATAAAAGTAAGACCTTGCTGTTTGTATTGGTTTTAGTCAGGAAAGAGTTAACTCTCTTCACAGTGGCTGGAATGAAGCTAGGTTTCTGGATTTATCTGGAAAAAAGTACTGACAAGGGGTCTTTCTAGCTGGTGCTGGTGAGTGCCTGCACCAAATTCAGGGTCTTTCTCAACTTCTGATGCTGCAGCTGCATTCCCAACTCTCTCACTACATGCAGCGTGTGGGGACACACACAGTTCAGACCAGCTAACCCCAACTAACCAAAGGAGTATTTAATTCTATACCATGTCATGCCTAGGGGCCCTGACACTCGTTTGCTGGCTCCTTAAGTCTTCTGTTAGCTGCTTAACTCCTTTGCAAACTCCTTTACAAACTCCTTTGCTAATTCCTTTGTTTGCTCGGTCCTGAGCGAGTTGGTGGGTCTGGTAGCTTTCCCGGTCATGCTGTCACTGATAGGGTTTGCTTGGACTCTGCTGCAGTAGCTCTCAGGCTCTGGTTCTCTTGGGACCTAGCTGTGCATTGGTT